AATTTTATTTTTTCCTGAATTTTGCACAGCTGATAAGCTCTAGAATCCCTCGGGGTGTTCTCAAAAGGGGAGACGGGGGAGGAAAATACGTAAACTGTGAGTTGTTAGAACGGCATTGCTAAATCTACTTTTAGACGATTAAAAATGTACCTCAGAAAACTAGTAAGAAATGGTCTTTGTACGCTGTTGTGACAGACTCACCTAACCGTTGTTTTTAACCTGGTGCCAAAATGGAAAATTTCATACTAGTTTTCACCGCGTTTGCAACCTTCAGTAAAATGTGTTATTTTTACAAACTCTACTGTAACTTCAGTTAAACTGAAACGTGTGATTGAAGCTTTTTGCTTGTCCGTATTTATTACACTACTTGATTCAGTAAATATATAAAAGTACCTTTACCTTTATTTTTGTATTATTTTACACGTTTATACTTGCTGTTTGTGATTATTATTTTTTACACTTGTAACTTGGATGCGATTCTAAAACCCAATAAATTATATTCATCCGTTCACCCGTGTTTCTGTGCCCGTCTGTGCTGAGCGTAAATTGGCTCACTGGCTTGAGTCAGCTTTCCCACCCGCACATTTCTCTCGCGCTTTGCCTCCTTTCGGTCAGCATGATGTGGATTTCGCAAGATTTGAATTCTTGCCTCTGAATGTTTATGTGTCCTAAGTGCATTTATGCACCATCCGAGGCTCAGGGCTTTGCGAGCAGTGTTTGCGATGGAAGTCAAGGCCAGAGTGGCTTGTGGGTGACTTTCAGCCAGTAGTTGACTGGATTGATGGAAAACGGGGGTTTCTGAACCACCATGCCTGGGTCCACAAACCACAATAAGCTATAGCATGTGTTGGATTTGTTTTGGGGTTAGTGTGTGTGGTAAACCGAACACCAAAAGGGCCAGAGATGTTTAGAAGAATACGCCTGCTGGCTTAAGGAGTGCTACGTACAGCTGCGTTTCTCAACCGTGGGAACTTTAAGAGGTGTGGACTTCAACTCCCAGAAT